TGGGAATTCAAATGCACTAGTTGGCTCATGTCTGGACATCTTTCTAGATGTCCTGAGGTTTCCTCCAGCTCTGTCATTGATGGATGATTCCGTCGTCGTCTTATTAAGAGTGTGTGCCAGAGTTTTTAAGCTGCACCTAAGCATCATGACGGAAATGGGTTGTCATGGGTTGTTCATAGTGGCATTCATTCATTCATCCTGCTCTTACGAAGCTCACGCACTGGTGGAAAGATGCACAATAAATGCATGACGTGAAGTCAGGGGGTTGTAAGTGCTGTGAAGTATGTAAAACAAAGTAATGGGGCAGTCACAGAGGTAGGAGGTGAGGTAGAGTGGGCAGGGAAGGCTTCACTGAGGAGGTGATATTTGAGCTGAGACCTGACAAGCTGGAGCCATACATGTGAAGAGCATTCCAGGAAGCAGAGATGGCAAGTGCAAAGGCCCTGGGGCAGGCATAAGGTGGGCGTGTTGAGGGATGGAGAAAAAGAGAGCGTGGCTGGCGTGAAGTGAGTGGGGAGATGAGTAGAGCAGAGTGGGGAGGGCAGGGCGCAGATCATGCAGGCTCACGGAACGCAGAGGCCTGGGTTTACTCAAATCACAATGGGAAAGACAGTGGACTACTCAACAATAAAAAGAAGTAACTCCTGCATGCAACGACAAGGAGGAGTCGCAAAACAGTTATGCTGAGTGCAAGAAGACAAAAAAGAGTACATAGTGTATGACCCCATTTATACAGAATTCTAGAAACCACAAACTCATCTGTAGCGAGAGAGCAAATCATCGATCACTGGGTTGAGGGACAGATTACAAAGGGTAAGGACAAAACTTTTGGAGGTGATGGATTCATTTGCTATCTTGATGGTGTCTATGGTTTCTGGGGCGAATATGTATGTTAACACTGACCCTGTTGTACTCCTTACACGTGTGCAGCCTGCACTACGTCACTGACACTTCAGTGAAGATGGAAGAGACGGCAGGGGGAAGCGTCTGGGGGATTTCAGTGGTGAAGGCACATGGTGTGGGTTCAATGAACAGATCCGGGGCAGAGCCTGGGTTCAGGCAGGGCCTGGAGATGTTCCCAGGCAGCGGGCAGGGAGGACGGGTCTGTGTGGAGCTGGCGGAGCTCAGCTTCCGCGAATTTGAGACCCAGCTGCCTCTTCTGACCCGGCTGTTGAGTAAGAGGAGGCCCTGCAAATTCACCTTTCAGGGAAACGGAGTTGTTTCCCCTGGGACCTCGGACAGACAGCTGTGGCCGTGAACGCCACGGAGGCGGGACTTGGCCTGGCGTACGCCCCACTGGGGCTGCAGTGCCCAGCACAGGGGCTGGCACGTGCCAGGTGCTGGGTGAGGATTTCAAATGAAGACAGGAATGAATGAATGAATGAAATGAACGGAAACCACCTCATCTGGAGCAACGCCGTTGCCAAGGGCAGCCCTCCTGTGCATCCTGATCTACAGCCACCTTCATTCCCAGACCAGAGGGTGCAACTCTGGGGCCTTTGAGGTCACGCTCAGCACACGCAGACTCAGTCTGACCCCTCAGCTCTCCTAACCGGGGTGAAAAAGTGGACTGACACCCTCGCAAGGATCTCCTGCAGCAGCCCTGGGAGCCCTGAAGGGGACGGAGACTCCTGGCTCCACCTCTGACTTGCTGTGTGACCATGAGCAAGTCACTATGCCTCTCTGGGTGGGCCTTTCTTTTCTGAAAGATGAGGGCTTGAAAGTGTCACCTCTTGAGACCCTCACTGGCTCCGTCTACTCATTCATCCATTCACTCAAGAAACAGCCTGTGGTTCTAAAGGTTAAAGCCAAAAAAAAAGGGGCCTTCTGGATCAATTTTCTTAACCAGAAAATGAAAAATCCCCAGGACTTTTGCATTCCTAGAGCTTTGCTATTGAGGTTTTACTACACTTTTCCTGGACTCGGTTCTGCTGAATTAGTGAAATGGAATTGGGAAAGAGAAGTGTTCAAGTTGTTAAGTGTCCTGGCCCCCAAGAACTCCAGCCTTTATGTCTCAGACCCCATGCCCCTTCTTTTCATGCACCCCAACTGGGAAGCGGACTGCAAGGATAGAAAGTCACTTTTGGTGTCTGGCACAATAATAAATTCTGAACAGTTCACACAGGAAGAAGCATGGTGTCACAGGAAGTCAACTGGACAGGAGCAAAGTGACCTCGTCCTTACCCCAAATCTGCCACCTCTGTAGTTGGGTGACCCCATTTGAAGTACCTTCTGCTCTCTACCCCCTGGGCCTCAATTTTCTAGGCTGAATCAAATGGTCTTTCAAGGAGCCCAAACAGGGGGACTGATGAAATCAGTTGCCGAAAGGGTCAGCAGGCAACATATGTGGGTAAAGCAGGACTGGTGCATGGCAATAGGGAGTGGTGGGGGCTGTGGCCAAATGACTGTGGCAAGCTCAGCATATCAGCTACACAGGGGAATGTGGGCGCAAGGGGAGCCAGATGATCCCATCTTTGATGCAGGATTTATTTAAATGTTGGTAATTAATTCAATATAGTCATGCGCCACATAATGACGTTTTGGTCAATGACGGACCGCATATACCATGGTGGTCCCATAAGATTAGTACCATAAAGCCTAGGCGTGTAGTAGGCTATGCCATCTAGGTTTGTGTAAGTACACTCTGTGACGTTTGCACAACGACAAAGTCACCTGACGACATATTTCTCAGAACGTGTCCCTGTTGTTAAGCGATGTCTGACTACATTTTTGAAGTCTTTCTACAACTTGAGACTCAGGTCCATGCCTGTCAACCTGTCAGTCCCGACATCTTCAACTCCATCTCCTTTCTTGTGGTTTCTCATTTTTTCTCTGAAGCCTGCTGGATTTCTAGCACACGTCTGGTCTTCTGAAAAACGCTAAAATGTTGCATTAGGCCATGGAGGCAGGAAAAGGCTGGGAGCATGAGCACGTGCTTGTGCATGCACGCACACACACACACACACACTGCTCGGGGAGTGCTGCGTTCCCCGAAGCCAGCTGGACGGCCTCCCTCCTGAGCCAACAGGGCGAACGAGTGGACCGGACGTGCCCCAAGGTCTTCAGATTGGGTCTCAGGCCTGGCAGGGAGCCACACTCGGGTCATTTCTAGGATTTCCTGCCCGGCTGCAGCGGGGGAGCCACCCCGCGAGGCTACGGTCAGCGTGCCAGCTCCTGAGAGCCCCAGGGGGATCCCACAGCACTGGTCCCTCAGTCGTAAACAGCACATGGGTTGGGAGGCCTACCGCCTCACATCCAAAGGCAACCCGCTCTTTTCCTCCTAGTGCTCAGAAATAACCCACTGGTCCAAGATGGATACACGTGCATTGGTATATACTTGTTTGGCCATTTACTATTCGCTCAATAAAGTATTTATGGGACACCCACTGTGTGCAGGCTGAGCGTACACAGATGACTAAAACCTCAGGGCGTCCCCATTCCTCCACTTCACCTCCTATGCTGTTACCCGCAAAACCACCTCCTACAGCTCATCCAGAGCCTCCTGGGCACCTCAACTTTTTTCTTACTAAAAAATGTTCTTAAAAATGAGCAAACCCAACATCACTAATTATCAGGAAAATGCAAATCAAAACTACAAGGAGGTATCTCCTCACTCCCGTTGGAAAGGCTGCTGTCGAAAAACCAGGAAATAAGTGTTGACAAGGATGCGGAGAAACCAGTACCCTTGTTGGTGGGAATTCCTCAAAATTAAAAATAGAATTACCAGGCCGGTCCAGTGGCACAGTGGTTAAGTGCGCACGTTCCAATTTTGCGGCTGGGGTTCACCGGTTCGGATCCCGGGTGCGGACATGGCACCGCTTGGCAAGCCATGCTGTGGTAGGCGTCCCACATATAAAGTAGAGGAAGATGGGCACGGATGTTAGCTCAGGGCCAGTCTTCCTCAGCAAAAAGAGGAGGATTGGCAGCAGTTAGCTCAGGGCTAATCTTCCTCAAAAAAAAAAAAAAATGATTAAGACGGTAAATGTTGCTATGTGCCTCTTACTAAAATAAGAAAAATTGAAAAAAAAACTTAACAATGAGCACACCTAGCACCCAGACCTTGGTTTCTAAATACTATTCTCCAAGAAAAGGAACCAGGGCTTCTTAGAGAAATGGCTGATCCTAGGGCTGGAGCAGAAAAAAAATTCAAGATGAGCCTGGAGCATCTTGTAGGGCCAGAAAGTAAAGACGTGCTCAAAAAACGAAAGGATGGGTGCGTATCAAAGGAACAGAGGAACCAACCTAAATGAGCCCCCAATGCCCAAAGCTGGCAGGATTTGAGCAGTGTAATAAGTAACATAGTGTCGGACCATAACCCTAAGTATAAAACAAACGGCCATGCATGCATATTGATACAAATAGAGGACAGAACAAATAAGGGTGAGGGGATACACTTCTTAGAGAAGAATTACAAATAATCTATGTAAATACTCCCCTTCCAGGAGATGGAGCTTAACCCTCCCTGCCCTTGCGTGTGGGCTGGACTCAGTGACTCGGATCTAAAGAATAGAGTATGGAAACGGCAAAGCAGTAGCTGCACAGTGGAGAAGGCTGCCAGACACCACCGTAACCAAGTGATCCGGTTCACATCCGTCACCAGGACATCATGTTGATGTCGGGAACACCCCCACGGACGTCATGTAGATCTCATGAACGTCCTCAGGGGGGTCACGTGGACGTCATGAACATCCCCAGGGACGTCATGGGGATGTCGTGAACTCCCCGATCAGAAGGGATGAGAGGGCACTTCATCTCCCATCCCATTCCCCCAAGACCTGTAACCCCAGACTAATCATGAGAAAAACGCCAGACAAACCCACATCCAGGGACGTTTGACAAATACCTTCGGGGACCTACAAATACAAGGACTCTTCAACACTGTCAAGGTCATGAAAAATAAGGAAAGACTGAGAAATGGCCATAGACAGAGGAGACTCATAACTGAATGCAATGTGGCCCCCTGAACTGGATCTTAGAACGGAAAAAGGATAAACAGTGGAAAAAACAAATTCTGGAGTTTAGTTAATAGTCATGCTCCCCTGTTAATTTCGTAGTTTTGACAAAGGTACCACAGCAAACAGTTGTATAAGATATTAACATCGGGGAAGGTGGGGGAAAGGCACACAGGAACTCTCCGTGTCGTCTTTGCAACTTTTCTATAAATCTAAAACTACGGCAAAATGAAAAGTCTATTTAGAAAAGCATTTCCTCCTAATTAATAAAGGAACACATGTTCACCATAGATAATTCATAATATAAACAAATAAGAAACCGGCAGTTGCTTACGTCGACTCTGTTAACATTCCAGGGCATTTCAATGCAGTCTTTTTTCCTGTGCACGTTTGGAACAATTGAGAACAGGTTCTAATCACCATTTTGTACTCTGCTGGGTACGAGCACACTCCTTCAGCATGCAAGGATTTGGTGAGTGTCATTTTCGCAGCTACTCCAAATTCCATGACTTGGTGGTGCTACATTTTACTTAGCTGCTCTCTGCTGTTGGACATAACTTCCAGAGGTTTCCTATGATAAATAATTCTTGAACGCATACATCTGAGTCTGCGTTTGGGATAGTTTTCTAACAAGAGAGTCTTAAGACAGACCTTCACACATGGAAGGCTGTGGATATTTCTAAGGCTCTTGACACACAGTGCCAATTTGCTCTCCCCAAGCGTACGCCAGTGGGTCCCCAGGTCAATGGTGAAGGGGTTCAGAACAGGCCTCCCCAAGACGTGCCACTTTGGCATGTGGGATATTTTGAGCTAAAGGTAATCGAGACCTTGCAAGCTCAAAAGAAACTTTTACCTCTCCCTTAAAGAATTTAAATTGGGGGCCTTGCCCATAATAAGAGTTATGACCAGAAATAAATTTTTATGACCGATCTGAATGGCAGGGCAAACCTCTTATTACTGAACATCTGCTCTTCTTATCGTCCTCTGAATTACCCTCCTCCCCTCTGAAGCGCCGGGCCCCTCTTCCTTTCCTTGGCTCAAGATGGCATAAATACCTCCCTTTACCTTCCTGTCTCTGACCCCCTCCTGTATGTGAGGTTCCCGTATGTATGGAATTAAATTAGATTTTCTCCTGTTAATCTGTCTCATGTCAATTTAATTTTTAGACCAGCCAGAAGAACCTAGAGGGTAGAGGAAAATTTCTTCCTCCCCTACAATGGTATTATTTAGGATGCCTGCTTCCAAGAGACTTTCTTTCTTCTTCATCTGAACATCCTCACTCTTGCAACTTTCTGCGGTCCCCTTGACGTTGCTTCTTCCAGCGTCTGTCTGCTTCCCTGTTCCCCTCTTGGTCCTCTGCCCTCCCCAGCATCACATCCCACCAGTGGACCTCTCTTTCACTCTTCAGGATCTCCGTGCACCAGCCCATCTGTTCCTGAGCCTTCGGTCATCTCCTGGATCCCCAGGCATAGCTTCTCCAGCCTCTCTCGTGAGCTCCATGACCACATTTCCACTTGCCTTTCAGGTATGTACGCCAGGACATCCCTGGGATGAGGATTCAAACACCACGTGTGAAAGAGAAGTTGTGGACTTCTCTTGGTCTCCATCTACTGCCCCCCTCACTCTCCTCCTCAAGGGCACAGCATCCCCAAGCACGAGCTGCCCAAGCCTGGCATCTCTGCCCCATCCACGTCTCCCATTTGCCCCTTACAATCCACACTCTTAGGATCTGGGCATCAGCCTCACAAATGTTCCCCACGCACCTGTCCTAATCCTGGCCCCCTGCATCTCGTGCCTCAAATTCTAACACCTTGGTCTCCCCAACTTCCTTCTCCTCTGCATAGAAGAATTATTTCTAAAACATTAATCTAGTCGCCTCAAATCCCCATCTTAAAAATCCTATGGGCTTCCTAGTGCCTGCAAGTGTGATGTGTTCAAGGCTTTAAATAGCATTGAAACTCATTTGTAGGAAAATTGACTTTTCTATCCTCTTTCAAGCAAACTCCCCTCAAGGACGGAGTCTCCACTGGATGCTAAGAAGTCTTTAACGTCTCTTTAAGACTTGCGATCTCCCTTTCGAACAAAAGCAGAGAAGGCTTCAGACAATATGACCCAAGCAGACATCACTAGCAATATTTGTTGTTTGACACCGGGCACAGCAGGTTTCCTGTTTACAGTCACGCTATAAATTTGCCTTGAAAATAAGTTTTTGGTTTTTTTTAAGTGCAACAATCTAAAAGGTTGAGTGAATAATAGGAAAGGCAGTCCTTGGTTAAAGCAAAAGTTGTGGGAGTGATATTGGAATTCTTGCTACTCCAAGTGTGGCCCCTGGACTGTGAGCCTCACCCGGGAGCTCGGCAGGAACTCAACCTCAGGCTCCACCTCGGACCTGCTGGCTCAGAATCTGCACGTCACAAGGTCCCCGGGCGATGTGCGCAGGCACGTTAAACTTGGGGAGCGCTGACGTGAATGACGAAGTTTGGGAAACACCGACCTCAGGAAAAAAGTCTTAACTATTTGTCCTTCGTGATCTGGCCTCAGCCAACCCTTCCAGATGATTCACAAGCCTCTCCAAGGGCTTCTCCTCCAGGACTGTGGCTCCCTGCCTTTATCCACGCTGTTCCTCTCACCGGAAGCCCCACCCAACTGCCTCAACATCCTCGGCATTCGAGACTCAGCTCAACAGCCCTTCTTTTTTCTCTTGAATAATTGAGGTGAATTTCACATAACATAAAATTAACCACTTAAAGTGAACAATTCTATGGCATTTAGCACATTGACAATGTTGTGTAATCACCTCTGTCTAGTCCCAAAACATCTTCATTACTCCAAAAACCCTGCACCCACTAGGCAGTCACTTCCCATTCTCCTTTCCTGGAAACCATCAATCTGCTATTTCGATGGACTTGCCTAATCTGGACATTTCATATGAATGGATTCATACGTGGCCTTTTGTGTCAATGCTTCATTCCTTTTTCATGGCTGAGTAATATTCCATTGCATGGGTGGACCACATCTGGTGTCTCATTCACTCTCTAATGGACATTTTGGTTGTTTCCACTTTTTGACTCTTGTGATCAGTGCTGCTATGAACAATTGTGTACAAGTATGTGTTTGAGAATCTGTTTCCAATGTTCTTGGTTATACACCCAGGAGCAGCATTGCTGGGTCGTATGGCAGCTCCATGCTTAACTTTGTGAAGCAATGTCACTTCTTCGCAGAACTTTCCCTCAACCCTTACCTGCTTCCTCCCGCCCCATCTACAGAATTGATTTTGCCTCCTTCTTCTCCCAGAGCAATTTCTAAGACACCTCATTTAGCAAAGCTGGATTCAAACCCAGGATTGCCGACTCCAAATCCTATTTTTGGACACTGCCCCACACGGCTGACAGTCACCTCCAGCTTGGACTGTCCTTATCTTATAGATGAGGATGCTCTGGTTGGGAGCTTGTTCAAGGCCACACAGCGCCTCAGTGACAGGTGGTCTCTGGACTCTCAGCTCCGGTGTCCTGTCTTTGGACGCCATGATCTATACTGTGCTCCTAAACGGACACATAGGTGAAAAAATAATGCTGCCTCTTCCATTCCTGGGGAAGCTGAGAACCTCGCAATGCTCCATCCCCAGGGAACCACAGTCTGTCTCCTCCTGGGATCTCTCACGAGGCTGGTTCTGCAGCAAGGAATGAGCCCCAGGATCTGTGGTTTGGGCACATTTATTTTGGCTCTTTATATATATATATTTTTCATGATAGGAGGAAAGGGAGAAAATGACACTTTCTTTTATTTAGTTTCTCTGCCTTTTCAAGTTTATGCTGCATCAGGGACCAGTGCAGAGCAGGATGCTCGGGGCCAGGGGCGGCGGCTCAGGTGTGGCCCACCAGGCGTGGGGTGCAGGGGAAAGTCTTGCGCATGCCCATGCACTTCTCCTTGTCGATGCAGAGCGTGTTGGCCTTGATGGCCAGCTCGTGCTCCAGCCGGCACTTGGTCATCACCAGCAGCTGCAGCGTGTCCTGGGTCTCCCGCAGCCTCAGCTTGAGGGTCTGCAGGGTGTCGTCGATGGTGAACACCTCGTTCACGAGCCTGGGGCGAGAGCAGAGGAGAAGTCACAGTTCATTCAGCTGTTCAACACAGGTGCACCTACTATGTGCCAGGAACTGTGCCAGGCGCCGGGAGACAGCGATGAGCCAGAGAGGCAAGGCTCAGCTGTCAGGGCAGACTGGGCAGAACAGGCAGATAGGTACGTACACAACAGAGCTACCCAGGGCGAGAAGTACAAAGGGAGAAACAGACAGGATGTTTAGGAAAACTCAGCAAGTTAAATATAGACCTACTATGTGACCCAGCAATTCTGCTCCTGAGTATAGACCCGTGAGAACTGAAAACAGATACTCAAACAAGACTCGTACAAATACTTGGGCAGCACTAACCTCAAGGGTCAAAGGTGGAAATACCTTTTTGGATGGACTCCAAAGGGCCATCGATGGAGGAATGGATAAACAAGAGGTGGTTTATCCATGCAACAGGATATTATTCAGCCAAAATAAAAAGGAATGAAGCCCTGACACCTGCAATGAGATGGATGAACCTTGAAGACGTGATGCTCAGTGAAAGAAACCAGACACAAAAGGTTATACATATGATTCCATTTATATGAAATGTCCAGAATAGGCCAATCCACAGAGACAGAAAGGAGATGAGTGGGTGCCAGCGCTGGAGGGAGGGGTAGGGAGTCACTGCCCAATAGAGGATTTCCTTCTGGGTGAAATGAACGAAAATGTTCTGGTGGTGGTTACACAACACGGTGAATGTGCTAAATGTCTCTAATGGTACATTATGTATTTTATTACAATTTTTTTAAAACCCAGATAACAGGGCCAGCGTCATATAGATAAAATGGTCAGGTGTGGTGTCTGCTCTAGGGGCCCTGCTCAGGTCCCCCTTACTGGCTGGGGCACTTGTGTCCCAGATGCTGTGAGTGTTGGCTGCTGATGGCTCATAGGTCCACACTTCTCCAGAGAAGCCAACGGCTCACCAACATGGGGGCACGGAAGGCCATCCCCTCCGTCAAGATGGGAGCAGCTCCACGTGTGGTGCAATTCATGCTCCGGAGCCCCTTGTGGGATCAGGCTGAGGCTGGGCTCCCCTCTCCTGCCTCTCTACTCCCTTTCTCTGAAGCTCTGCTTCTGTGGAAACTTCCAAAGGCACCAGGAAAGGTCCTTCTGAGGACGGAACTTTTGAGCTGAGAAAAAAGATGAGAACGAGCTGGCCATGGGAAGACCAAGAGAGAAGTATCCTATTTCTGTTCGCAGCGCTGCCCAAGCGAACTCCATGTGACGCTGGAGATGGTCTCCATCTGTGCCGCCCGATACGGCGCCACTAGCCACACGGGGCTCAGCAACACGTGATGCGGCGAGATCAACAGAGGAACTGAATCTTTATTCGTATTTAGTTTTAAGTCATTTAAATGTAAATGGAAGGGCCACATGCAGCGGGTGGCTACTGACCTGGACAGCACAGTTCTAGAGAGCAGAGCATGTGCGAATCAAATGGTTTAGATTTTGTCCTGGATGCAGTGGGGGGCCATTGCGGGAGGGGGTTGGAATGGGGGGGATGACGTGCTGATTCATATTTTGGGATAACCTCCAGGCTGCTGTGGAAAGATGAGACCGGAAGAGGGCAGGAGTGGAGAGATCCAGATTGAGAGGGTTGAAGAGTGTCCCCCAAAAGATATGTCCAAGTCAGAAGCCCCCAGTGCCCGTCAAGGTGATGCTCTCCGGAGAGAGAGTCTCTGCAGATGTAATTATGCTACGGATCTGGAGATGAGATCATCCCGATTCAGGAGGGGCCCTAAGTCCCATGACTGGTCTCCTTATACGAGAGAGGAGGAGATCTGACACCCAGGGAGAGACACACAGGGCGGGAGGCCATGTGGAGACGGAGGCAGACACAGGGATGCGGCTACAAGCCAAGCAAGGCCAAGCATGCGCTGCAGCCCCTAGCAGCCAGGAGAGGCGGGCACTGATTCCCTCTCAGAGCCTCTGGAAGGAACCAACCCTGCTGGCACCTTGATTTCAGACATCTGGCCTCCAAAAGTGTGAGCGACTATATTTCCGCTGCCTGAAGTCAGCCCGTTTGCGGTGATTTGTTAGCGCAGCCCCAGGAAATGAACCCGCCAGGTGAGCGGCAAGGGGGGCCCGGTTGTGGGGCTGTGCCGTGGGTCCCACCTCTCAGGGGAAGCAACAGTGAAACTGTGCTCAGGGCTGGAGGATACGCTGCCAGAAGGCCTTGAGTCAGACATGAGGGTGGCGAGCCTGGGCTGGGGACAGGCGACAGAAGCAGCCTGGGACCCCTTCCCTCCTTGGGGACCGCTGGACCAGCGCTGTCCAACAGAACGTGGAAACGTTCTGTTCTGTGCTGTCCAATACGGTAGCCCCAGCCCCACGTGGCTACTGACCACTTGGAATGTGGTTTGTGCGAGTAAGGAACTGAGTTTTATATTTTATTTCACTTTAATTAATTTAAATTCAAATTTAAATGGGTGCTCATTCTGGGGAATGCGCATGGATGGGACCTGAGCGATTAGAGGGGGTCAGGAGAAGTGGGGCCACCTGTAGAAGGAAGAGGAAAAAGAAGGCCCAGAGGTGGTCACAGAGGGGTCGGAGGGTGGGGGGTAAGGATGGTAATGCATAGACCCGGGGCAATTCAGCTGCAGGAGAGACAGACGGCTTGAGTCTTGTTATCTGCTCAGTTCCCAACACAGTCATGCACACATCCATACACTCACATACATATACATACACACATGTACACAGAGCACAGAGAGAGAGACACACACACACACACACACACACACACACACACACTGCCTGGGGCTCCTGAGCCAAACGTGGCCCCATCCATGCTCCCTGTCTACCCCTCTCGATGGCACAGCTGGGGGACAAGGAGGCAGGGAGCTTGTCCCAGAGTGTTAGGTCCTCCAGGACGACATCTGGCCACTCCCGCAGAAGCCCTGTTCTGTGCAGTCCCCTGGGGTGGACAAAGGGGTTTCAGAGCCCTCTGTCTCAGGGCGTGCTGCAGCCCAACCTGAGCGGCTAGGAAGCAGGGGTGAGTGGAGGAGGAATCAGGAGGGCCTGCCCCAGCCCTCGCCCAGGACCTGGACCCCTTCCAGCCCAGCTGGGCGGAACCCTGGCCACGCTGCACCCACTTCTAGGGGTGAGGACCTCGCAGGCCAGCAGCAGGCTGAGGAGCAGGTGGTCAGGCCTCAAGTTCAAAGCCTGAGGTCGCTCTACCTGCCCACTCCCCCAGCACACACACCCAGCTTTTCCGTTTCCTAGGTGGTGACCTCAGGCAGAAGCCGAGGCTGTGCAATCATCCTCCCACGGAACCACCCGGCATTTCTCTCAGAATATTTTTCCTCCCTCTCTTCACTTCTCCAGCTTTGTTCTCCACCTCTCTCCCCATCCAGGCTTAGAAGGAGGACAAGCCCCAACTCAGTAGAATTTGTTACATAGCAATAGAGAACTAATACAGTGCCCCTAGCATGGAGGGAACAGAGCAGCCAAGTGGCCTGCCCCAAGGCACACAGCACATTCACAGGAAAACAATCCCCGACGTCTGACGACCTGACTCTTCTATGCCTGCCCATCACCCCCTTTCAAACTCCCACCCAACGCTCACAGACCCTGACTCTGGGCCCATGGGAGCTTTGTGCCCCTCTGTGAGGGGCACTGTGTCAACAGGAGCAGCCCTTCCTTAGCTAAAGGGTCGGGCGGGATTAAGCTATTCCATGGCTCACAGGTGAGAACTTTACAAAGAGGGCGCCAGAGAATGAGTGTGTGTGAGCTGGAGCCAGGACAGAGAAAGGGTGGAGCCGCCAAGGGCAAAGGCCCCGTCTCTGGCCTGGGAGGCTGCCGCTTGGGCTTTTAGGAGAAAGCTGGAGGGTTCCCAGAACATAGCTGAGCCACAAAACTATCCCTCGTCAGACAGGCGAGGAGGCTGCAGTGCGCAGGGCGGGCCTCCAGGGTGGCGAGGCTACCCAGGGCCCCCCCAGAACTCCACACCCCACCCAGGGCCCTGCTGAGATGTGGGAGTAGATGTCCTGATGGGTGGGTGTCCGTTTCTCAGGCCCGGGCTCCCCGGGGTCTCCCCAGACCCACCCTCCCCTTGGGGCCTCCAGCACTCACTTGAAATGCGGGATGTCTCTGCACAGCTCCACGTTGGGGCGTCGGGTCCGGCACTCCAGCCTGGTCTGCGCCACCTTCAGCGGGCACTCCTTGGCCGCGATGGCCCTTTCCAGCAGCATGATGGTGTTCTCTGCCTGGAAAATCTCCTGCAGAGTCTGCAGGGGACACGTGGGAGTCATGGAGGGAGCGCGGGGTCAGCTGGCGCAGCTTCCGGTCAGGTGCCTAAATGACTCCTTCCCCAACCCTGAACACCGCTGGGGGCAGGGACCTCGTTCTTCCCAGGACAACCTTGGGAAAGCAGCTTCGGGACACTGTGAATGCCGGGGAGGGGCAGGCGCCACGGCTGGTTTTGCTTCCAATCTCCAATATCCACTGGAGTTAGCTGCTCAGTGCTCAGGCCTTTGAGATGAACACAGAAAGGGGCCGGCCTGTGGCCGAGTGGTTAAGTTCGCATACTCCAGTTTAGCGGCCTCGGGTTGGCCGGTTCAGATCCTGGGCACAGACCTACACACCGCTCGTCAAGCCAGGCTATGGCGTCATCCCACAGAGAAGAACTAGAAGGACTTACAACTAGGATGTACAACTATGTACTGGGGCTTTGGGGAGAGAAAAAAAAAGAGGAAGATTGGCAACAGATGTTAGCTCAGGGCCAGTCTTCCTCACACATACACAAAAAAGATGAACACAGATAATCCCAAACAACAGCTAATCTCTAAATCCACTTTGATTTGAATTAATCTAGGTTGTTCTATATCTTTTTTTTTTTTTTAAAGATTTTATTTTTTTCCTTTTTCTCCCTAAAGCACCCCCGGTACACAGTTGTATATTCTTCGTTGTGGGTCCTTCTAGTTGTGGCATGTGGGACACTGCCTCAGCGTGGCTTGATGAGCAATGCCATGTCCGTGCCCAGGATTCGAACCAACGAAACACTGGGCCGCCTGCAGCGGAGCGCGTGAACTTAAGCACTCAGCCATGGGGCCCCCCCTGTATCTTTTTTCTTTTTTAGGTTGTTCTATATCTTTTTACAATCCAGAGTTTACCTTCCTGATAACTAGGTCAGTAAATAAACTAGAAAGAAAGAAAGGAAGGAGAAAGAAAAGGGAGAGAGAGAGAGAGTCAAAATTTTCTATTTATCTGTAGAAATATTTCCCCCGACAGAATGCCACCACTGTGCCCTGCAACTGATGAAAGCACAGAGCCCAGGAAGGGCCAGGAGGGAGCCTGCTGGGGACCCTGAATGTTCCACATCTCGATCCAGGCAGAGGTTTCACAGGTGTAAACACAGGCAAAAAGTCATCCGCGAAATTCACCAAGCTGTGCATTTTACTGTAAGGCTGTCGTACCTCAATAGAGGATAAAGCAAAAATCAGAAAAAGGTCAACCACAAGAAAAGATCGGCAAAATGTTGATACTCATGTTGGGAACATGGGGGAGGGGAGTCTTTTATATGATTCTCTCCATTTCCGTGTGTTTGAAATTTTCCATAATAAAAAATAAAAGAAGAAGAGGACGGATAAAGAACGGGCACTCCGGCGCAGTCTATCCCAGGAGGAACCTGACCTTGCACTTAGCCAACCATAAAGACCCTGTCACCACACTGTGGCGGAAACATCCTTTCTGCTCCCTCCCACCCCAGGCAGCCTTTGATGTGTGAGCAGTTCTAGGTGTCATGGCGGCCCACTCCTACGAGAAGGCTCTTTTTTGGGTTAGGGAGACTGTGCTAACACCCCTCCCAGACTTGGCAGGGCTCAATGGCGAGGTGATGTGTGCTGTGTTCCTGACAAGCCTGGAAGTGGTACCCTGCCATGATGCCCTCCAACATGCTTCCTGCAGCATCTGTCCTGACAAGCCTGGAAGTGGTACCCTGCCATGATGCCCTCCAACATGCCTCCTGTAGCATCTGTCCTGATGAGCCTGGAAGTGGTACCCTGCCATGATGCCCTCCAACATGCCTCCTGTAGCATCTGTCCTGATGAGCCTGGAAGTGGTACCCTGCCATGACGCCCTCCAACATGCCTCCTGTAGCATCTGTCCTGACAAGCCTGGAAGTGGTACCCTGCCACGATGCCCTCCAACATCCTTCCTGCAGCATCTATTTGCGTGCCTGTCTTCCTCACTAGCATGTAAGCTCCTAGAAGTCAGGGGCTTGTTTTGTCCACGCTGTAGCTCCATCACCAGGAACAGTGTTCGGTGCAGACTGACAGCCGCCAGATGAAATATAGGACGGCCAGTTAAATGTAAATTTCAGGTCACAAGAAAGCATTTTTTAGCATACATTTCAACTATAGCATGAGACATACACTAAAACGTGATTCGTTGTTGATCTGAAATTCGAGTATATGGACAGCCTGCATTTTTATTTGTTAAATCTGGGAACTCAAAAAACATTTGTTGAATGAATAAAGGAGTAAATGAATGAATCACAGTGGGATCTGGAAATCTTGATTGTTAGCCAGCTCCCCGAGGGTCCTTATGCAAACTAAGGTTTGGGAACAGCATGCCCTAAGATTTGTACGGTCCCATCCATCTCAGATTTCGATATTGGGACAAGTGTTTGCACGTGAACACGCCCGTGCCCCTGAATGGGGTGGGGATTGCGAGTACAAGGCCCAGCGCCCGCCTTCGAGGACTTCACAATCATGCTGTTTCCCTCTTTTTTGTGAGCTAGGAAACAGTCACAAATCATAACCAGTCCTGAGATGACTATTTTAGCTAGGTTGGGCCCATATTCTATGGGCACCGAGAATTTGCTTACAAGACAAGTGTTTTCCAAACAATTGAAGTCCTGGTTTCCCTATGAGCTTAAGAAAAAAGCCTAGAGAGCATTTCGCTACTTCAAGACGATAAGAGGATGCCAGTTTGCTGCTGGGGTTGAGATGGGCAGGAGTTACAGGAGGGCACGGGGCTGCTCTGCTCTTGAAAGGCTGCCGAGGAGGAAGGCCCGCCCCCTCGCCTGGTCCTCAGGGAGCCACCCAGAATCGGAGTGACGGGGACCACACGCTGGTTAAACATTATCCCAGTAAGAATGTTCTGGGCCGGCATGTAAACACTCCAGTCGGGGAGCACCTGTCTTAGAAGTCCTGGGGATTTTCCTGAGAAAGCTGCCACAGATCCGCACAGCTCAGACAGCCCCACCCGAGCCTGGTACAGAAGAAAATCGAGCCTTCTATAGACGAGCAACGCTTCTTGGCACCACACTGCCCAGCACGGGTGACAGCCCCTCACTCTACCATCCAGATGTCCCTGCTCGGGGGGGGGAGCCTATTGGTGGGATGGGATGAGGGGGATGTTACAGAGGGTTTGGCTGCTGGTGGTACCCACCCGCCCCACCCCAGCTGTGAAAGCAGCTCCCAGGATGCTCCTCTGCCCTCAGTGAGGGCTTCGGCCCGGGGAACCCAGGCTGTACTTCTCCTGGCTTCTTTTGTGTGCTCGCTCCACCCTCTGGTCCCCAGCTCAGGGCTCGGCCAGCCACACTGGGGGCCTGAAAGTTTACAGAAGGCCTATCTCTTAAGTCCAGGGCAAGGGCCGACACTCATTCATGGGCTCAATCATTTCTTCATTCGCTCACTCATTAATTCACGGATTCACTGATTCACTCGTTGACTCAAGAAAGTTCACTGAGCAGCTACTAAGGGCCAAGCACTGTTCTGGGCAGTGGACGCAGCAGTGAACAGCACAGAGGGAAAACCTGCCTTTGTGGAGTTTATATTCTAACGGATTGTTCACTCGTTCATTTGCTCCTTCGTGCAACCAACGTCTATTAGGCACCGACAAGCACTCACTCCAATTTCGACGGCGTTTTCTACAGCCTCACAGAAGTTCAAGTTCCTTCCACCTCCTCTCTGCTAAAAACATGACTGGAAGCCTGTAGCGCACAGGGCATCGGTGGGGGAACATGGCCACAAAAGAGGCACCTGACACATGCTTATTTCAGTCCTGCGGGAACCCCTGCGTGAGCACAGCGGAGGGACAGGGACACAGCAAGACGATGAACAACGAATGGGAAATGCTGGAGAACCGAAACTTAGCAATGCTTTTTCAAGCCTGCTGACCACCTCCAGGATCCAGTCCCGGCGTGGTGCCAGCCTGCCTTGAGCACGGCCTCGCACACCTGCTCCCCTCCCTCGAGCGACAAACAGCAGCTGCCGAATCAAGAGGCTTCCGCAGGCAAGAGGCTCTGGCTACGTTTTATCAGGTCTGCTCCGCTTTCGTTATATACACCTTCCTAGCTACGCCCCATCTTTGCCAGGGCTGTTGGTTTTCCGCTTATAGAAGTGACATAAATATATTTTAAATGACTGTATTTTTAAGCATTTTTCAGTGACTCCATTTAAATAGTAATATAAAGTAAATAACAGCCCAGGTGGCACACGGATATGATAAAATTGGGAAGGTGGCCAGGACTGACTGAATTTGGGAAGCCCTGTGTCACACTGTGTGTCTCCCAGGTACACAGATACAGCAGGTGGGAGAATCCAGAGGGAGCTGGGGAGCTAAGCGGGCAGTGCCAGCTGGAACAAGGATGCTACAGGGATCCTTGGGCCACTGTGAAAAGTCCCCTCCCTCCCATCTCCTTGTTGGGGCTGGCGTCCACTGGTGTCAGGGGCGGCTGGAACCGACGGCTGCTTGGTTCTCCATGCCACCAGCCCCTGTCCCCACTGGCACTTCTTGCTTGGTCCTGCCCGTGGATTTTCCAGAACAGTAGGGGTTTTCCAGAAGTGGCCACTCTAGAGCCGATCAATGACTCACACGCAAAGCAGATCTGCCCAGGAGGGTGTGTTCCCTGCTAAAAATGTCCCCTGTAACCTAACTTCTCATCCAGCCTGTCACTCACAGCCAGGGTCATCTTCAAGAGAAGGGAGAAAAAAGACACACACACACAACTCTGTCTTGGGGTCAGCCCCTGCCGCCCACCCCAGTCCTGCCAGCCTGTGTACCTCCAGAAGCCCCGGGTGCAGTGACTCAGCCTCCCGAAGTTTGAGGAATGTGACCCCCAAGGCCAGGAGGCAGAGACCCCGTGGGCTGACCTGGGGCTGGAGCCGGACACAGAGCAGCCTTCACCCCCACGCTAAGGAGGAAACAGGATTTGCTCGGCGCCCGTGCAGGCTCCCCGTGCCAGCCTGGCCCAGCCTGGCTTTGACCTTGGCATCTGAGC